CTGATTGACTTTGATTGTGTCGAATAGTAGGTGATTGGGCGCCAATCCACCAGGGCAGATGGGGAAGAGGACAAGGCTCCGTTTCCGCGGAGATCCCGCAGATTTCTGGGCCAAAATGGGGCCAAAACATTGCGTCCCCAGCGAAACCGTCTTGGAATCTTTGTTGGTCCATGCTTATCTGTTTCTCTCTATATAATCTATCGATTTTTCAACTTGATTTTTTGTCTCAATGATGAGAGCTCTAGTTTGACATCTGCCTTCCCAGACCTTCTCATGTCAATCTTGGCATTTCTTTCGTTCAGAATCTCGAAAAAAGCCCCATTGCAAAGGCACAAAGAAATCATGGCAGCAAATCCCTGCAAGCTACAGACACTGAGTTGCCAAATACCATAGAATGACCCGCAAGGGCAACACTACGTCACCTGGGGCAGTTTAAAATGTCTGTGCAGAGTTGAAGACTGTTTTGCATCACCCTTCTGCAAAGTACACACCACTTTACCCTCTGGTAATTTAACATAGCTATTGAAAATGGTGATATATGGTGATTTATAGTGGATTTACCCATTGAAAATGGTGATTTTCCATAGCTATGTTAGTTTACCAGAGGGTACACACCACTTTATCTGGCATGTGTTTTTCTGTACAATGCCGCTGACCCTTCCGCAAGGTGGTCTTCTAAAATGTGCAAATCTTGTGTCTCACTGTCAGTGCTTGGCGTGGTGCGTTCACGGAGTGACAACAGGTGTCTCATGCTGTGTCCAAAATTTCCAACATGGTGTCTCCATCTAAGCTTGCATGATATCCTGCAATAGGTCTTATATAATATATTCTAATGTTAGTAGCAACGTGTTACAATAATACATAAAGCCTAACACTGTTTAACAACACAACCTTTCATGATGACATCATAATATAATAATCATGGTACTTAATTGCACAAATGTTTAAAACCATGCTATATATACAGAAATTATCATTATTATCAGTATTATCATTATTATTAGTTGTTATAATCATAGATATTATTTCCAAACATCAATCGTCCCATCCCTGTGAAAATGGATTGATGATTCCCATCCCCCAAGTATGAGAAACCCATCATATTAATTAAAGTATATGTTCACAGGGACGATTTTAATACCCTCTGGTAATTTGTTACATAGCTATGGAAAATCACCATGTTTCATTTGGAAAATCCACTATCAATGGCCATGTTCAATAGCTATGTTAGTTTACCAGAGGGTATATGGCGTGAAAATATATGGATATGCCGATCTTAATCCAGTCGAAGTCTTGTTCACGACATATATTTTTTTATCGACCACATCAACGGATGCTATGCGGAAATCCCACATCAACGGAGGAGGATTCTCCAGCCATGTTTGATTCCAGGAGGTACAGGTGAGCAGTGTTCAAAATCATTCAAAATCCCAAAAAAATCCATTGTTGGTTTATAGGGATTCCCCCATTGGATTCTTATAATCCCCTATATATTGGGTAATGTCAACCCTGGATTAATAAACCCCATTTACGGCTGTTTAATTGGGAAGGTACCATAAAAAAGTATCAAATCCTGACGAAATAGGGGGAATACTCCCCCAATTTTTCTAAACCATGGTTTAGTCTCGAACATAGCCATCCCATCCCGTCCTCGCGTCGGGCGTGGAGCTCTTTCTCCTTCACCCGAAGCAAGTCCTGACTGAGAAACCGCCCCAAAGGAACGCACGGGAACTGGGACGCTTCGAATAAGGATTTCAAAGAATCTGATGGGGATCTAATATAATGGATGATCTGGATGAATGGTATGTATACCTATAGAAACAACAATATCAACAATATGATATGTGGATGTGTCCAAAAATGGGGTATACCCGCCAAGTACTGCTCATTTCACGGGGAAAATGATGATACTGGATCTTGAGGTACCCCCCAAAGGAGAAGCAACCCACCCCCTGTCTGGAGCATGGCAATCAGCCATATACTTGCGAAATGCTTCGGCCAAATCTTTCTCTAAAAGTGAAGCTGTTGGGGTTTCTCTAAAAGTACACACTGTTGTAGAGCCCTTGGGGAAACACCAACAGCGACATAAGTCAACCGATCCACTGGCGTCTCAAACAGGCGGCGAAGGGTGCAAACGCGGCTTGGAAAATGGGAAACAAACTGGAAACCACAGTAAAGTCCAGTAAACATAGGGAAATTGCTGCAAATTGATGCAAGTGTTTATTGCTAAGTGGTTTTTTATAGATTGTTTATTGCAAGTGTTTATTCTTTATTGCTGCAAATTGATAGACTGCCCCATGGCTTTTTTATTGATGCAAATGTCCCATGAAATATGGGGCTCCTCTTCCTGTCTGAGCTGTTCCTCCAGCGCATGGACCTCAGAATCGGCCACAATAAGGAGATGCAACACACAACGCCCAGAAACAGGGGGAAAAAAACACACAATACCCTTGGGATGTTTAAAATAGCAATCGAAAACCACCGTGTGTTTCATATGTTTAGATCTGTAGGTAAATCCTCATGAGTCATTTATTTCAATGGGCCATGTACCAAACCGGCGAAGGCTCTCAGGCCATCTGAAGACGCAAAGACACAACAAGGGTTGACACAAGAAGAACAACAAGAACAACAAGACCAACGGCAAGTAGAAGTGAGAAATTGGAGTCGCATTGTTTTTGCATCATGTCGCATTTATTTTGCTATTCTCGCAGCTGGAACTATCGCTCTATTGCTCTCGTTACCGCTCTGTCTCTCTATGTATCTCTCTATCTATCTACCAATCTACCCATCTACCCATGCATTCATCCATTCATCAATCCATCCGGCCATCCGGCCATCCTATCGATCTTATCTATCTTATAGACCTCATCTATCCTATCTCTCCTATCTGTCATATCTATCCTATCTACGTTCTCTATCCTATCTTATCCACTCTATCGATTCTATCTGCGCTATCTATGCTATCCGTGCTATTAATTATACACGCTTGGGCATTTTAAAATTTTGATAAACCCACGGAAGCCCAGAGAAACCCTCATTGAAAAACGTGGGAAGAATCTCAGCAGGATGCAGAACTGAGAGTGTGTCTAGTCTGACCTTCCTTAGTACTTTGCACCGAGCAAAATAAAATCAAGTGTTATTGTTCCATCTCAATCTCAATCTAGATGATCTAGATGTTGCAATCCGAACGGAGCAATCACTGCAAGTCTGCCCAAAAAAGCATTTCTTGCAGGCCGCCCCACCTGCGCTTCGCTCATCCTGCAACGGAAAAACTCTTTGGATATTGCCTGTACACTTCTATATGTCTTAAATGGGTTCTGGTAGGGCACCCTGTTCCATTCACTGCTTAATTATCATATATCATCATATATCATCATATATCATCATATATCATCATATATCATCATATATCATCATATCATCATATATTATCGTATATCATCATATATCATCATATATTATCGTATATCATCATATATCATCATATATCATCATATCATCATATATCATCATATATCATCATATATCATCATATATCATCATATATCATCATATATCATCATATATTATCATATATCATCATATATTATCATATATCATCATATATCATCATATATCATCATATATCATCATATATCATCATATATCATCATATATAATCATATATCATCATATATCATCATAATCATCATAATCATCATATATCATCATATATCATCATATATCATCATATATCATCATATATCATCATATATCATCATAATCATCATTATCATCATATATCATCATATATCATCATATATCATCATATATCATCATAATCATCATATATCATCATATATCATCATATATCATCATATATCATCATATATCCTCATGTATCCTCATGTATCATCATATATCATCATATATCATCATATATCATCATATATCATCATATATCATCATATATCATCATATATCATCATAATCATCATATATCACCATATATCATCATAATCATCATAAATCATCATAATCATCATATATCATCATATATCATCATATATCATCATAATCATCATAATCATCATATATCATCATATATCATCATATATCATCATAATCATCATATATCATCATATATCATCATATATCATCATATATCATCATATATCATCATATATCATCATATATCATCATATATCATCATATATCATCATATAGCATCATATATCATCATATATCATCATACATTATCATATATTATCATGTGTTTCTGCATTTTCCCATTTTGACCCAACAAAAAAACTGCCAAAAAACTGCTTGGGTTGGGCCTGATCCGGCGAGGCCACCGAGTTTTGTGGAGCGGCCCATCGGTGAAGCGGCTAGCCCTTCATGGTTTTGTCACGGCGAGTCACGATTTCCTGGCTTCGTTTTTTTTCGAACCATGACTTAACCATGACTTAACCATGACTTAACCATGACTTAACCATGACTTAACCATGACTTAACCATGACTTAACCATGACATCTAGTAGTCACCATAAGATGTCATAAGATGTCATAAGATGTGATAAGATGTCATAAGATGTCATAAGATGCCATAAGATGTCATAAGATGCCATAAGATGTCATGTGATGTCATGTGATGTCATGTGATGTCATGTGATCTTGCTGCTCGTGGTTTGCGCATGGCGAGACAATTCAAGTCTTCAAATGCCCCGGAGATGAGAAGATTCATCTGGGTTCATCCGGATTCATCGGAAACTTCATCGGATCAAGCACTGGCGAGCTCTTGAGCTCTGGTGCCTGAGCTAACTATTTCATCATCTGAAGGACGCAACTTCTTTCTGAAACTGGTGTAGCTGACTACGCTCCAGGTCCCGAACTGAAGTTCACTGTTCTGTTTTTCGGTCTGTCATGGTGATTTCGTTGATTTTATACAGATGTTATAGGCATGTTATAGATGTCCTGAATTGCCAATAGTTTTTGCCTATCCTCGCATAAGGGCCCCTCTTTTAAGCCGACATCGAGCGCAAGGTCTTGATGAAGGTTTTCAGCTCTTCATCCGACATGTTGTTCCTGGACGGTTGGCTTTTCTAAATGTGTCACTCACATATAAAAAAGGTCGAGTCCAAATGCATTTTTGGGAAGTCACACTGAAGGGGACAAGGGTGCATGAGAAGAGTTATATATATATACAAGCCGCATTGGTTTACAAGATTTTACAAGTGTTCCTGAACCAACTGATCTTTGATGTGTCAAAGCTGCCATTTTTACCATCAGAAGGTCCAGCTTTCCCAGGCGCCCCGTCCCCTGGAGTCCCATCCGCGAGAAGGGCCGTTTGGCCCAGGCTTGACCTAAACCTCGGAGTTTCGTCCAAAAACCCCAGGTTTTCTCATGAAAACTGAGGTAAAAATGAATGGAAAATACACAGAAAACCACGAAAAAATGGGCCAATTCTAAAAATGGAATCGAACAAATTCCAGTGACGAAAAAAATGTCGGAAGCCGCTTCTAATTGTTCATCCAGATTCCATTGATTCCAGTGGTACCCCCCAAAAAAATAGACACACAAAAGCTGAATCAATGTACCCTCTGGTAAACTAACATAGCCATGGAAAATCCCCATTTTCAATGGGAAAATCCACTATAAATGGCCATTTTCAATAGCTATGTAACAAATTACCAGAGGGTAGCTTGCCGAATCGATGCCGCCAAGTGACACTGGAGGTCTTGGGCCTTCAACGCATTCCTCTCCAGTCCCAAATTGGTGATGCGACACTTTGGCAAATGATCTGATAACACCTGGCAAATGAAAAAACGGGGAATGGGTCAACAGTTTTCGGACCAAAATGGGGGGCACCCGAAAATCCGACGTTGATATCGATTTTTGGTGTGTCCCAAAAAAGCGTCTAAAAAATCTTGATGCCTCTTCTTACCCATGTCTAGAAGTGTCATGGCTGGCGACTCAAGATCAGTGTATGCATCAATACCTATACATACCATTTTTAGTGGGATGAACATTCATTTACCAGCTATTTTGATGTTCACCAGGGGTACAAGGTTTTGACACACTGCCAAATGATCAGTGTCAAGTTCATCCTTCTCTCAGCTCCAACAGCCGACCTCAACACCAACAGCCATCAGGTTGTTGCCCGCGAGCTGCAGCGACCTCGAGACACTCGCAGGTGGCAAAATTACTCAAAACATACCCAAAGAGCTTGGATGTTTCTTGCTCATCCGTCATCCCCCGGAAATCACTGTATTTATGTATGTATACATATATATATACATATTATATATATATACATATTATATATATACATATTATATATATATACATATATTATATTATTATACATATATATATATATATATTATAGTCTTAAAATCTATCCCCAAGCGAAACCATTGGTCTGGCAGAGTCTTACAATCCGGCCAGCCCGCAATGTTTGCGAGGAAAAAAAGGTAGCAGGCGGCTGTTTGGTATTGGATCAGTGATACGACTGTTGCACCTACATGCGAACCTGTGGGCACCCTGGAAGACCCAGCGGGCACTGAAAAGACTCACGTGACACGTGCTTTTTGACACGGAATTCAGAAGGCCTGAGGCTGGTATAGGCCAGTTCTTCAGCAATATGTCTCAGATCTTCCAGACTCAAGGCGCAGTTGGCTACTGCCAAGTCCTGCGGTTTACCGCTCTGGAACCAGAAGGGTTTAGGGTTTGGGTGAGATGACCAGAAGCTCCTGGAACATCCAAGCAATGGCAAGCCTGAAATGTCGTTCTATGAAATTACAGAAATACTGGTTGGTTGAGAACAGGATTGTCATAATATGGACAATGCTTGATGCATTGGGTAGTATAATCCAATAAAAGTAATCATCAACCAACAGGACTTTTGAACACATTTGTCCTGTAAAAGAACAGGAAATCTTCTGCATCAAATGAATCAGGCAGTGTTATCCATGTCTCACGGTCGCCCTGGTCGCCCTCCTCTAGCAAAGGTGCTTCCATCACCTGCCATGTCGGAAGGGAGCCGAGCGTCGGACTAAACTTGACCACACATCCCTCCAGCATTGTTTAAGGAAAAGTGCAAAAACGCTGGCTGTACATAGTAAAATGTACTTTCAGGGTTTGGATTTTAGGTTTGGTTTTAGGGTCTAGCTTAGCTAGCTTTAGGGTTTGTTTCTTTTAGGGTTGATGGTTTAGGGTTTGTTTACTTAGGGCCTTGAGGTTTTATTGCATAGCAAACTGCCAAAAACACAGCGCATACGCAGGACTTTGCACCTTTGAAAAGCCAGCGTTTGTGCGATGTGGTGCTCCAGTCTTGGGAAGTGCTCCGCGGTCAAACGTCAAGACTTCGTCAAGGTTGCAGTGAACATGTTCAACAGAAATGTAACATGCATATAGATACCCTCTAGTAAACTAACATAACTATGGAAAACCATCATTTTTAATGGGTAAATCCACTATAAATGGCCATTTTCAATAGCTATGTTAAATTACCAGAGGGTAAGATATACATAGGACTGCAAGCCAGGGCAATCCGAAGGCGAAGGCCAAAGTCCTTGGTCCTCCGCTGGTATCAGGACTGGATTTTGGCTGCGATTAGACATGCCTAAAGTCAGCTACACATAGCACTCATTGGGCACCGGTCGTGTGAATGATCGGTGAATGATATGAAGGGTGGCCCATTTTTCGCCAACATCTGTGGTCTTCGGGTTGTGTTTTGTGCTGAGCCTATAAAAAATCAATGGCTCAGCCCGTCAGGATGATTATGAGACTGGATCTTGGGGCGCAAAAAAATTGTCAAACCACTCACGACTGGAGACCCCAAGTCCAGCAGAACCAACGACCCCAAGTGAGCCAAGTGCCTCCGCCAAGGTTTCTCCGGCTCCAGTTAAGCAATTCCCTGAAAGGTCCAACATATTGATCTTCAACCTCAACTGACTCAACTGACTCTGACTCGGACACGATTGTGGACACAGACTCGAACACGACTTTGGAGATAAAGACTGGGAATGTTCGGATGCCAAATCCAGTGCCTGGTGACTTGGAACACGCACTTCACAGCCAGAGTTGAGGGCGATCCTTTTAGATCCTTTTAGCATAAAAATGATGTATTAAATCGTCCATTTTGATCCAATATTTTCACGTGTACCATGGTGTAGCCAGTTGGATCCAGTCTTTTCGCAGGCCGCCCTCTAGGAATGAATCAGCATCCCGGATCTAAAAAATGGTTGAGAGGACTGGATTCCCATGATGGGCGACAGATCTATCATTATTCCCAAGAGTCCCCAAGATTCCCCAAGCAGCTTGCGGGCTGTGGCAAACTTGGCACCCGAACTTGCTTGCTTCCGAGGCCAATCCTTTCAAAGCTTCCTCCTGAAGGCCACAATCCACCAACCTGGAGCTCAAAAATGGAGGAAATTGATGGATTGGGACTGAAACCCATATAACCCATGGATTCTTCAATGATTCATGTCATTGATTTATGTCATTGATTCATTAAAAAAAATCATGAAGATTTCTGGTGGAATCGATTTTTGGCTGACCTGCCAAAAAAAAAGCGCAGCCGATAAAGGATCCAAGAATCCAAGGTGGGAGATCTGCCCAGTTTGGATCCGCTCGCAGCGCCTTAACATCGAGAGACTCGTCCACAGCGGTTTCGTCACCGTCAAGCTCGCAGCGCCTCTCACAATGTCGCGTTGCCACGATGCGGCAGTGAGTTGAAAGCCATTGGAAGCCCTTGGAATTTGACAGGACCCCAAATCGGAGAATGTCAACCCCGGATTTTGCTAAACCATGGTTTACTAATTAGGGGGTACTCCTCCAATAGTCATGTCATCCAATACTTTTTTATGGTACCCTCCCAATTAAACAGCCGTTTGGGGTTTATTAATCCAGGGTTGACATTAATTCGCTTTAGGATGAATCAGAGTTTTCTTTGCTGAAACTCTTCATGTCTGGGAGCTGAAAGCTGCTGAAATACCTGTCAAAACAACATCAGATTCTACCCTTGTTGGGTTCATCGTAAAGTTTTCCTGTCAACCGAGATGCCCTCATAAACCAGCACACAAAGCCGATTCCTTTGAAGTAGTGACCTTTTGGATCTTGAGGTCTCATATGATATTGTTTATCAGATATCATGAATCACTAGCACAAACAATCAATCTTGACCGAAATCACCTGGCTTGAGATAATATGATTGTAAATATGCCACCAGCGCAAAGATCTGCGAAGCCTAGCTGCGGGTTGTAGGACAAGTCCAGCTCTTCCAAAGCAAGCCTTAGTGGCCGCCAGGTCTGGGGACTTCAGAATCTCGGAGCAGTTTTGGAGCTGATCATGACGGCCGAAGGTAGCCATTGGAGCTGATCCCCTTTTCCCAAAAACAGCGATTTGTTCATCCCCTTAACGTGTAAGACCTGTGGGACAGAAAATCGCACCATGGGACTGAAAGAAACTCACCACTGATAGTCCAAATGATGTCACTGGGCCAGGATCAAACCCTTACAATTGTATACAAGTGTAAATCATTTAGTCCTCAAGTCTCTCCGAAAAAAAAATGTAAAACTTCCCCTGATTTCATGTTTTTTACTCAGCTGAGTCCAACAGTCATTTGTCGTCTTCATGAAACAATCGAAGTTTTCCTCAGTGAATCTGGAACTGATCCGATTTCGGGTTCCATAGTCATGGCTACCCCGACTAGTCGCTGGATGGTTACTGGAAAATACGATTGAAATGGATGATAACTTGGGGTACCATGGGGTACCGCTATTTCAGGAACCCCGCATTTGACAGCATGTCATTTCATGTCCCAGGACCCTGCGACCAAACGACTCCGCTTCAGAGAGCCCCTCAACGATCTGCTGCAGGCCTGCACATTTGCCGGAGGAGTTTGAAACAGGAGCACTGAAAGAAACATGTCCCACGTCATCCTGGCTGATTGGCAAAAATTCAAGGTGCTGAAAGTGCATAGTTATTCAAAGATCCCCAATACTGCAGATTTCATATCGAGTCCCATTTGGGAGACATTGTATCCAGTATCCCTCCTGTCTTCCCCGTTCTTGACATAATGGATGACCATCTCCCAGGTAATTTGAAAAAAGCAGGTGTAACTCACTGCCCATGGGGTGTCGTTGCCGCTACGCCTTCTTCCCCCATCTCTGGGTTGTAGGGGAGTTCCAAAGCCTGTCGGACTGTCGGGTCAGTTTTTCAGGAGCTTCTTTTCACAGTTTCAACATGTTTCAAGCCTGAAATGTTTCATGGATACCTCCACAAAGCAGGTCATTGACCCAAGTAACGCCATGGTGCTTCCCACCTGCAACTCAGCTTTCTTCCCATAGACCCGGAGCGCCTGTCTTGCCATAGAGCCACAAATTTGAGGCAGCCAAGGATCAACAGGATCACATGTTCTCAAACTGCCCTATGTTTCCACAGGATGGTGCCCCCCAGTTATAAGTTGGTTTATAAACCCCATTAACTATAGTTATATCTGCCATAAACCATAGTTACTGGAGTTATAAACCAACTTAGCTAACTATGGGGCACCACCTTGAATCTATCCAATGGATTCCCAGTATTCCCATCGTCGAAAAGCATGGCACCTCCCCAAGCTGTTGAGCATTGCGCTTGTCCACCGCTGCTCTCAACAGCAACACCGGCGTGGGCTCCCTGGTAGCGGATGCCGAAAATCTGCAGGCTGTGGTGCTTCCTCTAAAAGATCTTTGTCCAGTTGTGAGTTTTCTAAGTGATTGTGCCTCCACATATTCTAACTTATATCGTATAATTATGTATAATGTCATATATATATATATATATTAACTTGTAACATTGAGAGCTATGACCCATCGGTGGTGATTCTTGTGGCGGTTTTTTATTCTTAGTGGTGAAGTGGTGGCCAACCAGTCTTCCCATGACGTGCCGATCATCTATGATGTCTATGTTCCATAATGTTCCATACATCTCAAAAAAAAATGTTGTGTTTTTCTTGTGATCAAAGTTGATACCTGATACTTGACGTTACTTGTTGGCATTTGCATTCGAGACTCTGCAGCTTCCCTTCGTGCGACGCTGCGTTGCAGCAATGCCTCTTCAAACGAAGAAGTGCCACTACTGCAGGAACGCTAATCGCTGCAAACGCCTGAGCAACAGTGATCTTGAAACCACTCCCTCTCGAGTTTCGACATCACCCAGTCGCACTGGTCCAGAGCACTTTCGGCCCATTTTAAGCGTCCTGCCTCTGGCAACAGCCCCCAAAGCGCCAGCCTGCCCGAACGGCACAATTTGCGCCCTTCAAGCTACGAGTCTTACAACGTTTGACTCTGAAAAAAACACCTCAAGCAGGAACAGCCTCCCTCTCAGAATTCCTGCAACATCCTACAACAAAATAGGCATAGCAATCAATTCCCACCTGGCTGGCAGTGATCCATCTACTGCCCACTTGATGGATGTGCCAATCCTCACCAATTTTCAGAGTCATGGGGTCAGGATGTTCGATGAAAAATCGCATCTTTGGAAAAAGCGCAGCTAAAACCAATCATTCCCGAAGTCAGGTATTTTTAGATCTTTTGAGGTTCCAGCATCTGCAAAAAAAAATGCGCAGCTTGAGTTATTGTGGATCTGCTGTTGGATCTTTGCCCACCAGGAGTTGTCCCCCCAGTCCATAAAAGCACCAGCCCAGCGAAGAGGAACAGCAAACCAAGCTTTTTCGGATCGCTAGCCTGGCAATTTCAACATCTGCGACTGTGGATATCTGTGGAGCAGGAAAACGCCAAGGTGGACGACAAAAACGTCATGGCGTTGGACTGTCCATGACTTCTTTGAAGTTCGCCCACACGCCCGTGGAACCAGTTTTGCACCAGTCTTGCATTCGCATGGAATGTGATGTGAACTTAGCTGTGATCAATACTACATATTGTTATTATTATTATCATATTATTACGGCAAATCTTGTAATCAATGATACTACTGCCAGCTTTCCATCATAGAAAACTCTCCCAGCATTCACTGCTGGTCAGCCTAGATTAGTTCGTTACAACCTTTCGAATCTGTCCTCCGGTCCTCCGCTCACTTTTTGCTCAGCGACATGGCCAGTGACCAGTGCTTCAAATGAGGCAGCGAACACCTGGATGTGCCTTCTTAAAGCTGTTGCCATCCTAGCTCCGCGCTGAAGGTCACAGGATGTCACAGGTGATTGATTTCAAGATGGAAAAAAAAACGAGTCGGCGAATGACAGTCACATGGCATGGCATGGCCCGAAAACAAGCACCCTTTGTGAAACTACCATTAAAATATATTATATACATATATACATAATGATGTTCGCAATTCCTCTCTCTGTTTCTTTGATCTGAAACACAACAACATCCTAGGGCCGCTTGTAGAAATTAAACATCGACTCCTTACAACGACAGAATGCATTGGGCACCGTGGACATCGGAAGACTACTCTGGAAGCTTCAGTATAACTGGTGTCTGAAAACTTGCGGGATAAACCCCTCAATTTGGATGGGTTTTCACCATTCTCCCCATTCCCCATTCTTTTTGATGCTCATAAAGTTGGGGGTTAATCCCCCCGTTGTCAGACTTGCGCCACATGTCCGCCACCTTGTAGAAGCAGCCTCTGTAGAAAATGGGTCCAGGTAGCTCCTGGGGGTGTCATGTTTGTGCTCAGCTGAGTACTTCCAAAAAATCTGACTGGGACAGGGAAGGCCGTTTTTTTTCCGAAGTTCTTTTGGCTTATTCTCATTGTGGATCATGAATTTTGATCGACTAGAATAAACGATCATTACAGGCGAGAATTCTGCATTCAAACTTTGAGTTTGGAAAACCGACACCCTGGTCATTGCTGGTTGCCAAGCCGTTAGCCGAAAAATCCGTGAACGCTCTCGACGCTCTCGACGCTGTCCTTCTTCTTTTGCTTTTTCTGCAGCTCGTCAATGATCCCGGCAGAGACTTCCGGCTGGACTGCATGGTGCGCCGTGTAGAATACCTCAAAGTTGCGATCCCACTCCAAAGGATCTAATGTATGCTTGAAATACCTTGAAGTATCTTGAAATATCTTGAAATGTGTCCAAATCATTCAAACTCACATGGATGACAGCAAAATCACTTGGACTCCGCTCTCTTTCTGAACCCAAAATCAGAATGTACCGCCAAAGGATCCGCCGTTCCTAAAGTTTTCCATTACAAACCTGTGGTGGCCTCCGCACAGGGTCCCACGATGTCCCATGTGGGTTCGCTTCACCATGTGAAACTGAGAGCCCCAAACCCATTGCCCACGGAAAACCAGGACTTCTTGGGGGGTCCAAAAAAAATTGGAATGTTCGATCAATTATCCGGCCATATGGATCCGCCGAAGAGCAAGTGCTGCGCCTTCCGGATGGAAAACATTATCTGCCACGATGGGTGGAGGGCCTCTTACTCGGCAGCGCGGCTCGGAATCGCGATCGATCTGGCGTCGGAGGTCTCATAATTCTATATAATTCTCATAGCAACAGTGGATCCTTTAGCTTACCTTCTGGCAAGAAAGTGGTCAAGTTTGAGACCGACTCCAATTTCTGTACAGAAACGTACCTTGGCTGAGAGCAATTTATGGAACTCGGAGGGATCCATGACGTCAAACTTACACCATTGCCTCAAGGGCCATGGGATTCAGAACGAGAATCTGCAAGAGAAGTGCGACACAAAAGAAGACTAGTGTAGTGACAGTGTTCTAGCAAATCTCTTTCAGGGCTAAAATTGTTTAATATTGAACAAATGCGTGGGAAATCATGAACCACAGGCTAGATTGGATGCACAAAATGCTCATTGGTGATGCTACCATGGTTTGGGGCGCTAGTCCCGCATCACTTCTTCTGTTTTCCTATACAAATTGGTGTTCCCTTGTTTAAAAAATCACCAATGTTGGATGATTTGGAGGTTTGGTTGCACCTCGATCAAACCATCTCTGATTAGCCCCGACTTGATGGTGGAATGGATCTGATTGACTAGTAGAAACAATGGAAAACCAAGCCAGCTGCTGAAATATTGTTCAACACCAAACCTATAGGACTACAGTACGATCCGTTTCGTATAGCCGCTGATGAGGGAAACAATCTCGACGTGAAGCCACTTGCATGAAATTGGAGTGTCAAAAGGTTGCACACATGATAACCCTTCAAAGTCATAAACCCAAATACCGTCTAAATATGGTTTTAAAAAATTAGGTATCCAAGAATTTCTATGTGCCTATTATCTACCTATATACTTATATAGTTTTGTGTGTATACATACACGTATACATATACATATACATATATACATATATTATATACATGTATACATGTATACATACATACATATATACATGTATACATACATACATTACATTACATTACATTACATTACATTACATTACACTACACTACACTACACTACACTACATTACATTACATTACATTACATTACATACATACATACATACATATATTACATACATACATACATACATATATACATATATACATATATACATATATATATATATGTGTATACGTATATACATATATACATATATACATAAGTATATGTAAGTATATGTATATATATATGTAGAATTCTATTGAATTATATGTATATGTCTATGTAGTACTGGACGAATAGAAAAATGTCACGAATTTCGTCAAATTGGTGAATCTGCAGGTCAGTGTTCTTCTGCACCTTCTGGCCCCCAGCACCTCATTTCATCAAAGCCAAGTGGCTTATGACCTCTTTCTTCCCAAGTGCCGATGTTCAACAGATCTTCATCCACATCAATATCTGTGACCCGCAACGCAGGCACTTTTGCAGATGCAGGAAGAGTCTCATCCCGCAAATGTCGACGTATCCTTGGGGCATATTTTGAAAACCCTCTGGTAACATGGCTTGGAAAATCCGAACACATCCTATGGCTGGAGGCGTGTAGGGAAAATCCTCGAACTTTTCATGGATGTCCAACCGCTATGTTTGGCAGAGGGTAACTTCATCAGCTTCCACGATTATCGGCAAGGCCAGGGCTCCATGTCCCCAAAAAGGGCAAGGCCCAAAAGGTCCATGTCGGATGAGCGTGGCCCCAGCGAGTGGACACATTGCAGATCCTTGCTGCAGCCGCAGCCGAGGAAAAGGTGCTTAAACTGACTGAAACCTGAAGAATTTTCAAGAGTTCACTACCCACTCACAAACTACATGATCGTATGTGTAATGATTGAAAGCTTGATTGAGAGCCTCTTCTTCTCTCAAATACGTTCTCTCTGAGCAATTTTACTGCTCGAGAACATTTGAGTCATCTATTCTCTGAGTCTTCTCCGAGGTACTCTAGTCTCAGTATCCTCACACTTCTCTCAGCTAAGTCTTCTCTGAATTTCTCCTCCTCTGGGCTACTTCGGGATACTTCTTCTCTGAGCTTCTTCTTCTTCTTCTTCTTCTTCGTCCTCTTCTGCTTCTCCGGCCTTCTTCTCTGGGCCATTTCTTCTCTGACCTGATCTGGACATCTTCTTCTTATTATATCTTATTATCATGATCAGTATAACCAGCATATACTGGAACTTCTTACTTCTTCTACTTTTTCTTGAGCTACCTAGCTTTGGAGCTGGCATCTTCTCTGACCTTTCAGCTACTTCTCAAGGTCGCATCTCCCTGGGGCTACCTCTTACGGTCGACCTCAACATTCAATGAGCGTCTGCGCCTCCAATCAAGAAATGCTGCAAGTCAATGAAGAAATCTGAAAATACACTCAAATGATCCCAAATCTTACGGGGAATCTCTTCCTCCGTGAAAGAAGCCTAGAGTTCCTGGCTATCATTAGCTATCTGGAAGACAAAGAGAAGTCGTTCTTGGTCGTTTTCACTGCAACAATAGGGAAAAAAAACGCCTCACCGAGCTTCCCATGCTTGCAATATCGATCGAAGACATGGCTGACACCACCACTCATGGTAAAGCCACCTTTGACGCTTGGGAACATCGGTAGCTCCTCGTTGCGCATGAAGTGCACGGGCAAAATCGGCAAGGGATACGTCTCGGAGCCTTCGCGTTTCGCCAGCTGGAAAAGCTCGTCCACCCCAGGAGCGACGAACTGGTCCGAATCCAGTTGGATGCCTCTGCGCCGGACATTCACATTGAAAAATATGGTAAGATATGGATAGATATGGTAAGATTCTGTGGAATCATACTTGATCGAAAGCTAAAGTAAGGATAAGTAAGGTGGATTCCTGCAAGACATTCTATGACTTGCTGTTGTCTCTGGATCCATGACTCTGACCAGTTTTTTGCGCGCCTGTTTTCACCCTCGCTACTAAAAAGGATCGGTACTTGTTCAAGTCGAAACGCCGAAAGAATTCGGGCGGGAATGGAGCCGCATGCAAAACCACAAGTCCTCGGGTGCATGGGGCGTTCTGCCATGAAGGGGCACCCAATTAGTTGGCATGCTACGGTGGATGGAAGAAATCCTGCACCACCTTGGATGTTTGAAACCCTATAAATAGTGGGATAAACCATCTATCAACTGGTGCAGGATTTCTTCCATCCACAGTAGGATTGCTAGGATTGGAACCAAGAGAATGAGTTTCTACTAGCGTTTCTAGCCTTTTGGTTCAAAGAATGTGAAAAAAATCGAAAAAAATCTGCCAGAGAATCTTGGATACTGCGATGGATCCCACTCGCTTGGCGTTGCCATTCCAAAATGAACCACCACCACAGGTCGAGAGGAAAAGAGATGAACTGAGCGAATCAACTGTTCCTTACACGTGGCTTGCAAACTAAGTCATGGGCAGCATGACAGCAATTCCAAGGATCATTGCCCTACAGTGTCTCAAGCTTTCAGCAAGGCAGAAGAGAGTGTCAGCCAACTTCAGAGCTCAAGTCACATAGCTTCTGAAGTTTGTAGTAAAAAACAGTCCGCTCCCGGATGGCGTACAGGAAACGGATGTAGTCACACCGCCGGACACACTTCCCCCCACTCCACCATGCTCAAAAAGTCAGTCGCAACAACGATGATTTGTTGTTCAAACTTGTAGAATGGAAATGCCAGAGCGTGCAAAACACAATGGAAGGCAAGTTGCACCACACTCAAAAATATGGCTTTGAATTGCTCCCGAATATGAAATCGTATGCACATTGAAACGCCGCATCCGAGCAGAATAAAAAACGCAGGACCGGTAATTGATGCACACAGATGTGCACCCTTGTTCTGAAGAGGAGGCGAGCCAGATCCGCAGGTCAAAGAGGCAGGTTTGCTCTCAAGTTCTTACTACCACCAAAGTGCAAAACCCAAGTTTGAACGCTCTGGATTAGCATTTTTCAAAGTTGCGCCTAATTGTCACCAAAAAAAAACGGATTCCCATGAGAGTATGCATGTTCACAAGAAAAATATAGAACTATAAGAGGATTTCTGTGAGTCTTTCTACCCAGCTAACTGCGCAACATCTTCAGCGAGACTTCGCCATTACTTCGACCAACAATTGGTGTCAAATTCCAGGTATCCCATGACTGGTGGGAGGTTGATCCTCCCAATTCCTGAAGCTGAAAAAACACGTCCAAATCTGAGGAACAAACGTAGACTTGGCCTATCTCTAGACTGTGGCCTGGGAATTAAAAAAAAATCATTGTCAAAAGCTGCATCTTTTTCATGAGCCCTCGATGCAAACCCGTCTGCCTTCCGTCTCGATTCTTGCAAAGTGTAGATCGTCTGAAGAAAAAACGAATACATGAACAACTAATTTCAATGTGATTTCCATGTATTTTTCATGTATTTTTTGCCTTGTCGATGTAATTTCAAGTCCAAGATTTTCGCCTCTGCAACGTCTTAAAGCTGGACTTGTCTGGTCAAGTTTAACATCCTAGACTGTCACCTTTGCGTCCACATTGTTGCGGGTCTTTAGCAGGGGACGAGTCATTCAGAAGTGTTCTACACGTGTCGCGCTGCGATTGGCTTTTGTGTTCCCAGTTCTGTGATTCACAAGGAAATGGAACATGTGGAATCGAAAAGCTTGGCACAGAACTGGGCCTGGTCTGACGATTGCACTGGAAATCCAGCTGCCCAAATTTGTGCACAGTACAGATGAGGCATACGTTGTCTCAGTTGATTCTAAGAGCGTGCGCGGGAGGGTCCGTGTGCATGGGGGTGGGTGTCTATAATATCATTACTAGTACTATCAATATGTTCATCATCGCATCATCACCATTTAAAAAAAAAAAACATCTTCAGCGAAAATATGTCAGTCTTGTCGGAGTGTCGTTGATCTTGGCCCACTTCGTACCGGAAGGTGCCGGTCCGATGAAATTCACAAAGGCTTCCTCCAACCAGCCATTTTCCTGGCCGCGCTTGCGGCAACAAGGGGCTGTTCTGTACCACCAGAGAAGCGCAGTCCAGTAATCCAGTAAGCGCTTGCTTTATGACCTGTATACCATCTATAATTATATACATATATGTATAGGTACCATATTTAAAAAAAAAAACAATATATATATATATATTTTATATATATATATGTATATACCACTGGTTATATTCCATTATAATATGTATACTGCCTACTGAGCTCCGATGCCCATTCATTGCATAAACGATGATGGGCTCAAAATCTGCAGCGAGAGCCCTTGGCCACTTCCATCAAGCTTCGTAAAGATTCGCGTAGTTCTCCTCAAAGCCTTTGCTGATCCAAGCATCAACCATGAGTCGCAAGGGCTCCTCCAAGCAAAAAAATTGACCAAACCATCGACCATGAGTTTCAAACGAATACATGGTCGGCACATGAGATGTCAAAAGGGCCATATGGAGGACAAACGCAGTGATATGATGTGATATGATGTGATATATACATGGATGGGCAATACCTGGAGTGATTTGTCAGCAACCTGGGAGGCCACGATACAATCTTCAATGTGAGCAACTGAGGAGACTACTAGTCAAGACCAGCTGACATTCACCATTTTGGGGAACTGTGCTGATTAAACCTTGTCAACGAAGCATGTGATGTTTCCGATGCCTATATCCATGCTAGTTTTATCTACCTTTCGGGCATGGGAAGGCGGAGGATTCTATGTCCAGTCCTGTTGCAAGGTGCCTTTGCCATGTTTTGGAATGTTTGGCATCTTGGTGCAAATCCCCTCCACAGCTTTCCACAACTTCTGGTCCCAAAGTTCTCCGTCTTTGGCCTAGGTGACCAGCGTCTGACCGCCTCTGCAACATTTTGGCACCATTTTTTTCGCTTCAGCTCATTAATCTATCTATCTATCTATCTATCTGTCTGTCTATCTATCTATCCATCCATCTACAGTATCTATCTATCTATCCATCCATCGATCTATCTATCCATCTATCTATCCATCCATCCACCTATATGATTTTTTTGTTCGCCAAGATACCGCCAGCAAGATATCGCAAGACACCACTTTGGGTGTTTCATCCAGCTGTTTCACGGCAGGAGAGATCTTGGCGTAGAAGGCGGAGTCGATTTCCACCTGCGACTGAGAAACATCTCTGAAAGGTAAAAAAGGCTATGGATCAATACCTATACATACCATTTTTAGGGGGATGAAAATCCATTTACCAGCTATTTTGATGTGAACAAAAAAGGGGATAGGGTTTTGATCCATCCCCATATAAGATTGGATCATGAACTGAGGGGGTAAGTATGGGTCAGTGTTACTGATTGAATTCTAGATTGGACTGGAGTGATTGAACCCATTGGTCGACTGATTGAAAAGATTGACCTGTTGAATTGGACTGGTCGGTTGCTTGGTTGGTAGATTGAAGCAAGTGATTGGTTGAATACATGATTAATCGAATGGTTAGTTGGTTGAATTATTTGTGGTCAACACGAGTACCTGAGTGGGATACTTCGTTGGTGCATCTCTTAGCATGTTTTGTTCAGTCACAACGGGTTGTGTGGTCCATTCGTCAGTCAGTGAAGAAAAGGGGGGTTGGTGAGCCAAGCAAAACTTGCTGGCTACGGGCTAGGACACCTGCATATAACATCGTGTACTCAATACGCTCGACTTGCATACCCATACATATATGTCTATATATATATATACAAATATGTTGCCACTCTATATATATATATACACACTAATAATTTAATAATCTATAGTAATAGTAATAATACATAATATGCACTGTATATCAAACTCTTAGCCTTGAGCACACCCCGGCCTCACATTGACAATGCTTCCCAGCATCGCCCGGAGCTGGATCTCCCAACTTGTTGGTGGTGCAGCTCAAGGCTGGACCCTTAGGGAAGGTCGTCCATTTCGTCCTCAGAAATGGAGATTTTGAGGAGATTTCCATGACTTTTCATCGGAATTTTCGTGAATTTTATGGCTGGGGGAAAAAAAACTCTGGTAAACATACAAAAAACTATGGAAAATCACCATGTTTAATGGGTAAATCAACTATTTCTATGGTCATGTTCAATAGCTATGTAAACGTTTACCAGGGGGTAAGTTTGAATGGGAATGTCTTAGATGAACTTTTAGAACTGCTTAGTGTTAGTGAGGTACCCAGTCGAATAACCCTAGTGCTAAAGGTTCCTTCATTTTTTGCACCAAGCGCTGAACTGGGACTTGCTGGCTAGGCTTACTAACCAGTCACTAAACTGGGACGATCCTCCAAATATCCAAAGATCCTCGAACTAAATATTCTAAAGGGTGGATTTCTTTTTTTTGTTTTGTTAAGAAAATGATGTTGTTTTTCAGTCCGAGGCAATTTTCCTTGCTATTTGCTGCATTTTGAAGCTAAAATCTTTGATTTGCAAGCTATTTGCTGCATTTTGGACCTAACATCTCTCATTTGCGTGCTATTTGCGGCATTTTGGAGCTAAAATCTCTCATGTGCATGCTATTTGCGAGCTCAAATCGCAAATTTGGGGAGCTAAAAACGCAAATTTTGGACGGTATTTGCAACATTTTGGCTTTCACCAATTGTTCCATGGTTTTCAACGATGTCTGGATGGTTTTCATCGATTTCTTGATGGTCTTCAATGATGTTTCCATGGTTTGAGAGATTTGATCATTTTTTAAATGGCGTTTATCAATTTCTTCGATGGTCAGAGCAGAATGACAATACCTATTCTCACATGCAATGCTGCAGGTTCAATGTGGTACTCAGGGTGTATGCAATGCACAACATGCATGCTTGTGAACATGCAGAATGTAAGTTAAGGCACAAGGGTGTTGGGTCTGAATAGTTTCAATGGATGTTATCATAGTATTGGTTTGGGATGTATTTAGGGTTGGTTTAGGGTTCATTTAGGGTTAGTTTAAGGTCTATCTTGGGTTAGTTTAAGGTCTTTGGTGTTGTTTAGGGTCTATTTAGAATTTGTTTCAGGTTGGTTAGGGTTCGATCAGGGATTATTTACGGATAAAATTTGTGTATACAAATTGCTGTCAATGTGTATATATATATATATTATCTACATTATTATACATATCTACATGAGGTGTATACATACACACACGCATAGAGTAGTGTTTTTGCAAGTGTGCAAGCTTGGATTTAAATAAAAGAGCCGGAGGGAAAGATTGGGACTCAAAAGTAAAATTCTGACTGCCATGCAACCATTGTGAAACAAACTCAAGCAAATGTAGTGTCTTGAAATACGGGTTCGAGAACTTCAGGAACAAAAAGTAGTTAGGACACTTGTTGAAGACAGGCCTCAATTCCTCTCACAACAGCATGCATATAAGCTCATATTACGTCTGTAGTTTCTGCTCATGTATGCAGTGTATTATATGAAATTATGAAATGTTATATGCAAACTGCAATACTACTACACATACATTCAACAGAAGTGCGTATGAGGTACAAAGGCCGCGTAAACCAAAAACAAAAAACAACAAAAGCCAAAAGCCAAAGCCAAAAGCCAAAAGCCAAGTGAAACCAAAGCCAAAACGCCAACCAAAGGTAACAAAAGCCAACGAAAGCCAAAAGCCAAGTGCCAAGTGAAGCCAAAGCCAAAAAGCCAAAACCCAAAAGCCAAAAGCCAAACAAGTGGTCATGCAAATGGGAGATTTGCGCTCCAAAATGCAGCAAGCTTGCAAATCAGAGATTTTAGCTCCAAAATGCAGCAAATAGCAAGGGAAGCTGCTCCAGACTGGAAAACTGAACAGAGAATTTGGGCTCTTAAATCTGATGAACACTCCTGAGCACTGATCAGCACCTTTTCACTCAGTCAGCTCGAAGGTAGCTGAAAGCACTAAAATGGCTGCAGCACATATACAAACATATATGCTACATGTGACATAGTCTACACTGTGCACATATCTGATCACGCCTCCCGAGCCTGTTTAAAAACGGCGCTCCCGTCCAATTATTTGAACTAGGCGAGTTTTGATATGTACAGCTACTCATAGCCACGCTCAAGCCATCTATGCTCTCAGTGTCAGGTGATGCTCACCTTCCAGAAAGTGAAAATTCATATTTCGCAAGGCTTTATTCATTTTCTCTTCTATGACAGGTTTCGTCAGGACGTCGGCAAGCATATCGCCAGTGTCGACCTTCTTCAGCCGAAAATAGCGCTTGGCAACGCGGTCTTGTACCCAATGGTATTGAGTATCCACGTGCTTGGCCTTGCCTAGTCCTCTGCGAGAACCCATTGCTATTCCTGCACTTGCGTCCATGAAAACTTCACTCTCGGGTTGCAAACCCCAGTCTTTGGCGGTTGAAACTTCTCCCAGCAAATTGCTGGCACCGCTCACAAGAGCGTAATACTCACTCTCTCCAGACGAAAGACTGACTACTCCTTGTCCTTTAGAGTAAGTCTTGATACAACAACCTCCGGCCATCAGGACGCCTCCTGACACGCTCTTCCTCGTCTTCACGCAACCAGCGTGGTCAGCATCAGACCACATCACAAATGGACTGAGTTTGCTCTGATGAGGAAAGAATTGTGCCATGCGTGGTCGATACCTTAGGTATCGTGCAACTCGTTTGAGCATAAGCATGTGGCTGGTAGTTGGTCGTTGTAGCCCTTGTGCTAAAGATCTTGTCGCTACTTGCAGATCTGGTCGATCTTGTGCCAAATAAGCTGCTCGCATTGCAACTGATCTGTACTGGGTTGCTTCTTCATCATTGAGAAAAACAGTGGCGTTCTTGAGGTCTTCCAGTGGTGTCTTGACTTTGGCTCCTCGGGGACCATCTCCGAGTAAATCAATCACCAACTCTGCATGACGTGCATCTGGTTCCCACCAAATTCCATTCTCCTTCCATGTGATAATTCTGTTCAGGACTCTGATGTCCTGGATGGTGTTTGGTGTTCCTGGTGGTCCTAAAATACCACGTTCCACACATTTCCACTTCTTCGACAGCTCTTCATGAAGCCATTTGATGTTGTCAAATGTTCCGGCTGTTGTAAAATCATCTCCATGTACAACAGTTCTGAGGTCTCGGCCTGCATGGTAGTAAATGCATGGATTGCTTTTTCCTTGCTTGAAACCTAAGGCTAACATAACCTTCTGTATTTGCAACTCCCAGTTGAGAGGTGCGTCTCTGGTTCCATACAAAGACTTGAGCAATCTTCCTACCACATCTTCTCCAGGCTTCTTTGCTTCTGCAGGAAGTTCCACATAGATCTCACGCGTCGCATCTGAGTAAAAGTGGGCGCGTTTCACATCCAAAAATCCTAGAAGTCTACGCTTGCGATAGGCTTCCTTGACAGCTTTTCCAGCGTCTGGCAACTGAAACGTGACGGCTATTGTAACTAGCATCTTCAAAGCCGACAAACTGGGCATAGCTGCGAAGAACTCATCAAAACCTGAGCCCTTCTTGACTTCTTGAGCTACTAACCTACTTCTATAAAGTGGATTCTCTTCATCCTGCTTGTTGACATCTACCCATCGTGTTCCAATGGTGCGTACCCCTTTGGGCATCTTGTGTCTGGGAATCTTTTCCCAAACTGGAAAACTTTCAATGATTTCGACCTCATCTTTTCTGGCTTGTTCTACACCTTTGCTGTCTAAAATCTTTCCACTGATATCATCATAATAATACCATGTAGCTGCTTCATCTTCCAACTCCGGTGGAAGAGGAATTGTTTCTTCACAAACTGGTTCTTCGTCTCCTTCAGTGGACTGAAGATACCTCTCCCGATCTTCCATGATCAGGTTCATAAGACATTGGTCTATGTCATCCATGTCTTCTGGTCTCTCATTCTCAGGTGGCCGTTTGGTGCCCTTAGACGCCTGAGCTGAAGCAGCTCGGCTGTCCTTGGACTTTGACGTTTCGCCTCCTGAGTCTGCAGGTCTTTTCCGACCTTTGGTTGGAGACATTTCCAACCTTTTGTGTGTTCTTTCTTCTTGCTCGCCTCCTGCCCTCTTGGCTGAGGCTGTGCTTGCGCTTGCGCTTTCTGCAGGTGGATCTGCAGCTTGTCCGGTAGCAGGACTCTGCCTCGCGATAGCAGGTCCAGCTGTTGGCAAACTTGGAGCAGATTCCCCTGTGGCTGAGTACCACAGTTCAGTGACGATATCTGCGTCATCAATCAAAGGCGCGTTGATGACTTCATCTCCTAAACTAGGATCCATTGGTTCAGACTTGATAATGTTTCCTGTTTTGAAATCTCTGGTGACTCTCCACCAGACATTATCCCAACTGGGACCTTCTGGCATAGTACCCTTGAGATACCTTGCATTCTTGTCAAGGCGCGCAAACACCTTAAAACCGTGAGGAACTTCTTGTGGTTTCTCACTTGAATACCCATAAAGAATCTTTGTGCCTTCTTCGGACACTTCTTGTTTCTGACCAGTGATTTCAGAATCAACCTTGGCCGTATGTTGGGCTACTCTCAGGTTGCCCTCTTCTGCTTGAAGCAGACGTTCCATCCTTTCTCTGCAGGCTGGAGTGTGATGAACTCCAGTGCCTCTTTTGCCAATTCTAGTGGCATCACAGGCGACACAACCAGCGGTGTAGCCATACTTGTCCAAATCACGTTTGGTGATGTAAAGTCGTCTTGTCGACTTCTTTGGTGGCTCAACTGGCACTGATGGCGCCAGTGGCTGCTGATCTCCCCCAACAATCTGAGGAAGCAAAACATCATCTCTTTTTGATGCTTGAGGATCCCAGGGAACCCCAGTGACTGACATCAAAGTTTCGGCATCATATCTGTCGTCAGCACTCTTGCGTCGAATGCTTTGCACAGTGAAAACACCTGATGCATTTCCCACTATCTTCTCAGTGGTATTGTCTTTGACTCCCAAGAAAACTCCTTGGTGCCATCTTTGTTCAAACTTGTGACCTCTTTTGAGGAATTCAATTGTTTCCCCAAATGGTGGTAATGACACTCTCCACTCACGACCACGGTGTCTAGAGTACGGTGTCTTCCCATCTTTGACTTCCAATGATCTGTGAAACAAATTGTAAGTGGTGCTAGCGTGTTCAACCAACCATGTCAAAACTGGGTGGTCGTCTGGCACCTTTCTTCCATAGCTTGTCTCCAAGGCACTTCTGAGTGTCCTGGATTGAGATTCAATAGCTTGAACTGCTCTTTCAATTTCCCCTTTGGATTCTGAGACTCCTTTGGGAACTTTTTCCAAAACCAACTGTTTGTCAAAACCATTCTTGGCTGCCTCAACTACGGAGTTGAGTGCAGGCTCTGGGTCATACCTCATGACCATCTTGGGGTACCCAAACTTCTTAAGGTCATTCAAAAGACACTTAGATCCAATAGGACCTTGGGTAACTCCCTTGTATGGCAAAACGTGTGCGTAGGTCAACTTGGACCATCGATCATGTACTATCAAAACTGGTGCATGCTTTTTCTGCACTTCTTCTGTGATGACAGTGTCATCCACTGAATTCATGAAACAATAGTCAGCTGAGATCACAGGAACTGTTTCATCTGAATGATCTACTTTGACATGTCTCATTGCCTTTGCCTTACCTCGAATGCAATGTTCACACCAACTCCTAAAAGGATAATGGCTGACAAAATGCTCTTCTTTTTCTCTCTGCGTCGGCGCTGCTGCAGTTGGTAGCGCTTGAGAACCTAGCTTACTACTGCCCGGTTCATCATCTCCACTACCTGCGCTCTCTGTGGTCTCCACAGGACTTACGCCTTCAACCCTTCTGTGGGCTGCCCATGAAAATCCATGGCTATCTTGAAAACACCTCCAGTCATGGTGACTGGAACCTTCTTGGCTCCCCTTTGCAGAAACGATCCATTGGGGCCGAAGGTTACTGTCCAGCCTTTCTCAACCAGCTTGGACACAGACAACAATGGCTTTGCAACATCCATTGCCCGGAACTGTCCCACACCTTTGACTTGTGGGCCTCCTTTCTCACCCATGGTCACTATAGGGTTGCACACCCCATGCACCTGGACTGGCTGCCCTGATGCGTTGGTGAACGGCTTCTCATCCACAGGTGTCATAGCCAACTCCAATGACTGTGCCAATTCCTTGGGTAGGCAACTGGTTGCTGCCCCTGAGTCAACGGTGGCCCAGACAATGGTATCCACCTGAGATGCCAAACTTCCCAGGAAGTCGAGGTTGGAATCAGATCGAACTCCTCCTCTTGGTGAATGCTTCCTGGGCTTGGGAGATGGCGTTTTCTCCCTCTTCTTCCTGGCTTTTCTTTCCATGTAGTTAGCTGCATCACGCACCGTCTTCTCCAGGAATCTCTTGGTGCCCATGCTGAACTTTCCCCTGCCCTTGGACGCCTGGGCTGAATCAGCCCGGCTGTCCTCAGGCGCTCTCGATGGGGATTTGGACTTCAGCTCGATGGGTGCTCTGGGTGCCTCTTCTTCTTCTTCCTTTTCTTCTTTCTCTTTCTCCTCGACCTTCTCTTTCTCCCCTGGCCTCTTGGGGATCTTCTTCACCTCGGGCTTCACTTCATCTTTGCCCTTGTGCCTGAAGCGCTCGTAGTGCTCCTCAAAGCTTTGCTTGCGCTTCTTCCTTTCTTCATCCTTGGCAATCTCTTGGCGCCTCCTCTCATCTTTGGCTTCTGCATCATCCATGGGGCGCTTCTGGGATGATTCTCCTTCTTCTCGTGCCTCTCTCTCTGCCTTTACCTGACGATGTTCTTTCTTCCAAAACTCCAGGGCATACTGAGGATAGCATTGCTTGTTCTCCACATGTTGCCAAAAGCTTGCAACGCTCATGGAGTTGAGTGCCTTTCCACATGACTGGCACTTCACATAGGGATACCCTTTGTTGGAGACAGTTTTGCACTTCTCATGCAACTCCTTGAATGGAATGGGTCTTCGAAAGGAATTCTGCCAATGCTCGACCACATCCTCCATGCCTGGTGCTGGCTCCTGGTTGTAGGGCAAATCGTCTGGATCTGTCTCATCAGAAGATCCTAGGTCAAGGACTTCACCATAGGCTTTCTCGTAGGCTTCCTTCAAGACGTTGTCCAACTTGCTGAGGACTTCAGGATCGGTTTTCAGCTTTTCAAGTCTGCTGACAAACTCATATTCTTCAGAGGAAATGCTCTCCTCAGAGGAAATCTCACACTTGTCATGGATCCATTGTGGGATCTCATCCTTACTCATCTCTTTCATCTTCTCCTTATTGGCCTTCTTCCTTGCTTCATCTGCTCTTCGTCTTTCAGACCTGTGATGTCCTCCTCTATGGCGCTTGGGTTCCAACTTTCTTGCCTTGGGAGGTTCAGACTCTTCACGGCGCTCAGACTTTGGTGCCATAGTGCCTTCCAAGGTGAACAGCGCTGTGAGTTCAGGTTCAGGTTGATCACCAGTGGCAGCTGCTGCAGGTTGCTCTTGAGTCCAAGCATCAGACTCAACATTGGCAACTTTGCGACCTTTACCTTGATCACCTTTACCTTTACCTTTGTCTTGACCTTTCTTGCCTTTCCCTTTGCTCTTGGAGTCATTGGTGTTTTGTTTATACCAAGACTGCTGATTCCAAGACTGATTGTTCCAAGAACCCTTGTGGTATGAATTGTTTGACCAAGACGAAGACTGGCTCTTTCCTTTGTCTTTACCTTTGGACTTACCTTTGCCTTTCCCTTTATCATGTTTTCCTTTTCCCTTACCCTTAGCAAGGGAATCCACATCCATGGGAACGGCTCCTGACTTTGCCTCTTTCCTGGTCTCGACGTTCTCAAGGTAGGCCAAAACTTCAGCTTTCACCTGGTCATACGTGGTCAATCTCGAAGCCTGCAAGTCCAAATGATCTTGCAACTTGTTGGGACACATCTGCTGCAAGCAACTCCTGCAGATGTCATCTTCAAGTGGTTTCTTTCTCCTGTCTTCGTACTTTCTTTTCAAGTTCTCCCAACTCTCAAGCCCTTCTCGAAGCTTATCAAGACTGCATTGACTTGGATGCAGAACCTTTTTCAACAAGGCTGAATTGGCTTGAGGATTTTGAGGATCATATTTGCACAACAGTCGTCTCATGGCTTCTAGGCCAAAGTGGCTACCACGAGATGTGTTCTTGACAATTTCCAACGCTTCTCCCTCAGTCAATGATATGAGGGCTTGTCTAGCCTGAGCTGAAACTAGCTCGGCGCCTTCATCAAAGTCTACTTCTAGACTTGACTCAGTGATCTCTTTGTCACACTGAGACTCGACTTGTGCCACAATCTTCACAGCGTTCTTGTGGCAACTTTCAACCCATGTCTTAAACTTGTACCACCAACTATCCCAAGTGCCTGATGCTCCATTGAACTTGTCAGGTTTTGGTATGCCTTTCAACTCTGATCTGTCTTTGTACTCAACAGATCTCTCAACATTTTTGTTGATCTGAAGCTGCTGGCTCATAGCCTCAGTCATTGCCTGATTCAACTGCGCCTGACCCTGAGTCAATTGGGCCATCATCTGCATGATCATCTGGGACATGTTGGGACCGTTGCCTTGTGCTTGTGGTGGTGCCGGTGGAGTGCCTGGTTGCTGAGGTGGCTGCTGTTGCTGAGCCATCCTTAGTCGTTCTTCAGGTGCTTAGAGACCTGGTTCAAGAGAACCCTTGGATACTGTTGGAGATGCACTCCCAGGTTATGGAAGTACCTTTGGAGTTTCCTGATTTTCAGGAGCTTGAGTGTCAACCTTTTCCAGTTGGCACTGGGTAGGCGCGCCAGAGCTGATGCAGCTCGGCGTTGACACCTACACATTCACAGCTGGGTATCAGAACCTCAGCTCCGCTACCATGAACAGAGAATTTGGGCTCTTAAATCTGATGAACACTCCTGAGCACTGATCAGCACCTTTTCACTCAGTCAGCTCGAAGGTAGCTGAAAGCACTAAAATGGCTGCAGCACATATACAAACATATATGCTACATGTGACATAGTCTACACTGTACACATATCTGATCAAAAACAAAAAACAAATATATATATATATACGTATATATATATATGTGTATATATTATAAATATATATATATAAATAAATATACCCTCCTATTCTAAATGGAGGTTTGAGTGGGACCATCATCGAACTAACCCGGCGAATTTCTTACAATCTTTGATGACCAGAGGGCATGCAGCATGCAGCTGGGATTCTTGATGCCCCAACGGATGCGGCCAGGACAATCACACAGCATAAACTGGGAAGCACAATAAACCTGGGCTCCAATAGAGCTTCGATTCACAGCTTCAAAACTGCCATGCAACAAGCGCAAGGCAGTCATGATTTGCAGCGGTTTGGTGGGGGACCTAAAGGGTTGCGGTGAAGCACTGATACTTTGTGCCGGCCATTCTTGGGCTACTTGGGCATATCCAGACCTCCAACACCCGTCCAAAGGCATCATTTTTTGGTTACCCCCAAGCAACTTCTGAGGCATCCACCCATTCTGTTCTGGAAGTTGCCAAACTTGGGGTTTCTTCCATCTCGCATTCACAAACCTTCGAAGGATCGCCTGGGGCCGGATCTCCCAACACCGTGAAGTCACCTCAGTCACAAACCATAGGGACCCATGGGGACCTACGATCTGACCGAAAATGTCACCTTAAGGTGACCTGTTGCCAAGGACATGGAAAAACCACACAGCTATCTCAAATTCAGAACCAAATCAGCAAGAACTGTTTCACACCGGAGATCTGTTTATATCAGTTTATCATTGACCACTCGGAGAAGTTTCCTAAAGCTGTAAAGCTGTTTTTAAGCACAGAATAAACATCCGAGTCACACTTCCACGGTTCGGCCCTGGCTTCAAAGATCTGATGTCTTGAAGGAGTACCCCATCCTCGGGGTGATTAAAAGGGTGACTTGTGGCCACTGTCCCGTTGTCTCCAAAACGTCTGGACTCAGTGGAGTATTGCAATAATTATATTGCAATGCATGCTGCGTGCACCACAATCCCTAGATTCGTGGTAACCTTGATGTAGATTGAGGACGATTGAGGTATAAGAATCGGAAGTAAAGGACTGGTTCCAGGATGGACTTTTCATCCTCGGCCAAGCATCTCATCCGGCCCTGGCGGCTGGAAAAGGCTACACAACCATAGGCTGAACCCACTAAGAGGCCGAGCCTTTCCAAAAAAAAACATCAATGAGAGTCCGAAATCCTGTTCATTGATGCATCTAGGAACCTGAGTAGAAACCAACAGTAACCAACACACCCAAAAAGAGACAACTTGTTCTCAGATCGGGAGCCTCACATGGACAAACTTCAAATTGCTGCGCACAGAGTTGCCACGCTCGCCGTGTTGGCGGCGCTGGCGGCGCTGGCGGCGCTGGCGGCGGTTCGGCGGTGGTTTTCAGTGGCGAAGCGACCGTCCTCAGATGAGATCCTGAGACCCATTTGGCACCCCATCAAATCATGGAGAAAAGGAAACATTGATGGAATTTTTGCAGAAAATCATGGGAAAATGAAAACAAAATGTAACAAGATATGACAAGATATAACAAGATGCAAGACAATGTCCACATGCTGGAGACAAGTGCTTGCCATAGGGTTAAGTGTTTCCAATTGCCACAGCAGTAACATAGCAGTAACAAACTGGTCTACCGATAACGTTATTTCAGAACTCTCAACCTGACATATATGCATGTACCTTATGCATATATCTACATAGATAATACATCTATATATATATATATTACAGTATACATATATATATTACAGTATGTAGATATGTATATATATATATATATTACAGTACATATATATATACCATCTGGTGATTTAACATAGCCATGGAAAGATCCACCATGCTATTTTCATAGGTAAACCATCTATTTCTATGGACCATCTATACCATGGGCAGCCAAAGGATCGCTTCACCCAGCGCTTGGCTCAGCCCATCCAACTCCTTCCGGGCGGAAGAAGCGGAAGAAAAAAAGACACGGTGCAGGGATGATATGGGCTTAGCGACTGACCCCAGCATTCGGATTTCTCCATAATGGATACCCTCTGGTAAACTAACATAACTGTGGAAAATCACCATTTTTAATGGATAAATCAACTATAAATGACCATGTTCAATAGCTATGTTAGTTTACCAGAGGGTAGCATATATCAATATAATATGTATATATATATATATGATATATGAATGATATATGGAGGTTTCCTAAAATATGATATAATATGTATATAAATGATATATGGAGGTTTCCTAAAATAGAGGTACCCCTAGTTATCATCCATTTTAGATGGGTATTGTCCACAACCAAAGCCATCCATTTTAGGGTACCTCCATTTATCGAAAAACCCCATATACATCCATATAATGGATATTGAAGATGGGATTACGCAAATATCAATCTGATATATAATGGATATTATAATGGATACTATATAAATCTGATATATAATGGATATTCATGATAAGTGATGGATATTTAAAAAAATGGTCTATCAATCTGAATCTAGCCGTTACTACAAAGTGGCTTGGACATCTTCGAAGTCCGTGGAGGTTGTGGAGATTTCGCTGGAAGAATCCCTGGAAGATTTTTCTGGGACAATCATCACTTACCCTCTGGTAATTTAACATAGCGAACTGGAAAGATCCACCATTTTTCACGGGAAAATCCACTATTTCAATGGACCATGTTCAATAGCTATGTAAACGTTTACCAGAGGGTACTCAACCGGATTTTCCAGCTGCCCAACTGGTTTTTTTTTGGGTGGCCGCAGTCCCAGATACTGGTCCTCCTGGGCATCCTCCAATATTGGAGGCACCGCACTTCTTGCAGGCTCTGGGGACGCTGGAGGCTCAGCGAGGGAAAGTGCCTGACAAATGGATGTTTTACACAGTTGTGATAGAAATTGACATTACCATCTGGTTATGACTAACATAGCCATGGAAAATCCCGTAAATAAATGGAGGTATTAATGGGAAAATCATCTATACATGCTAAATTATACCCTGGATTAATAAAGCCCAAACGATTGTTTAATTGGGAGGCTACCATAAAAAAGCATCATATTATGACTATTGGAGGGGTACCCCCCTAATTAATAAACCATGGTTTATTAATCCGGGGTTGACATTAAATGTTTTTTGGTGACAAACTGAAACCATTGCGCTTATGTGAGCTTTCTTGTGGATTGCCAACTGGTCCGGTCAATGGTCAGCAGAATGTCAGCAGATTGTTGAGTCAAGAAAGTCGCCATGTTCATCCGTGAAATTGGTGTAGAAAAAGGGGACAAGCATCTGAATCTTTCACCTAAACAACATTTGGGGATGGGTCAAAACCCTGGTACCTAGTGAACCCCAAAATAGCTGGTAAATGGATGTTCATCCCACTAAAAATGTATCTATAGGTATTGACCCATACCCATTTAGGTGTGTCTGAAAATGGATGGGATACTCCCAGTTATGGCCAGTGAACTAATAGGGACAATGATGATAATTTTCATGATAAATCCATTGGAACTGGGAGTAGCCTATTTTCAGACAAAGCCATTTTAAAAAAGCATCTTTTGTTTTTTGATCCGGGTGAAGCAACTGATTTTTTTTCCGTTGCTCCCCCACCTTCCAGACAGCCAGGAATGTGAGAAATCCCAGAGGAAGTGACAGGAAACGCCACTGGAAGCAGCGCTTCTTACTTCGCCCAGCCATGCCATCGCCGCTGCTGAGAACATTGCGCTGAACCCACAAGATCTCCAAACTAAAGTCGCTCCTAGTAGATCATATCAATATGATTCAATATAATTCAATATAATATTATTGTACATATATGAATATTATTTATTCCTAAGATTCAATATGTACTTCAAATTGTACAGCATGGTTCTTGTCTATGTGTTCGATACATGCCCGTCTTCACATCTTTTCCATGCCATAAGTGACGCGTTGCACCGCGCCAGGCCTTTGCTTAAAGATATGTAGCAGCTGCCAATGTTTCAACTGAGGATTTACTGTCTAGGTCCAGGTGACTTCCCAGAAAAACAGCTTCAAGTCACAACACATGGAATCTTGACATGGAATCTTGCCAGATTGTACCATCAAACGCGTGGAAAAAGGGGTGGTGTTTCCTCTACAAAAATGTTCGATGTTGATCGATGATGAGGAATTAGCGTCACGACTGCCATTACAGGAATTTGCCCACAAAAAAAAAACTTAAGTGAAGGGCCACAATGGCCACACTCGCAAGTTGAGGAGGAAAAACCCATGGATTCAAGAAAAAATGGGTTTGGGTCAAGTTATTAACCCAAAAAATCAAATAGTTTCATGTGTCCCTTTGTTTCTCATAGTAGAAATTCTCAACCGCCTGTGGGTTGAACAGCTTGAACAGGCCGCTTATTTCTCCCGGACTCCAAGGTACCAGGGCTTTCAACCTAGATTCTTGGCATTTGGTCATTGGGGTACCCCCACATCCAAAATTAGACCAGTTTAGTATTGAAACCATTTGAAACCTATGCTTTTGAGGATCCCTCATTGTTAGAAACCCTCAGATGTATCCTATCCGACACGATGCGCCTGCACTGCATCTGTCGAGATGCCTCGCCCGGATGTGGCTGCCCGGGAGAGGGAACTCTTGAAATCTCATGATCCAACGAAGGCCAGCAGTCTACAGTTTGGAAACATGGCGCATTTAGGCTTCAGCTGAAGATCTGTGGCGAGTTTGACTTCAGACTGGCCATCTTGGCTCTTGAGAAGAAAAACCGTCCTGTTCCCCATTCTGTCGGAGTTGCGAAAAACGGGACAAAGAATCGGAAAATCCCTGCGTTTTTCACATGCGGTGATTCAGGTCTTCCACCCTACCGATTCTGAATGGGCAAACTCCAGGGTCGCCGACTCTTGTTGTTTTGCATCACCTGCAAGCAGTGAATGACAGCAAATCAGTGCACTTGGGTTCAACTGGTAAAAGATGTTCAAAGCCTGTGCCCAAATGAGTAGAAAGAAAAAACTTGCCAGAATTGTAAACATGTTCATGAAAAATCGCTCACCGAAATGTTCTAACCGCCATATCTATCGATATCCGTCCATATTTTCAGACTACCATACAGGCTTAGAAGGAAGCACCAGTGCCAGCAAAACACGATTGATCACCAAACTCACTTCAGATGTTTGCAGTTCATCCCAACTGCAATTCATTGAAATCATGATGGCCCTAAACGGCCACGTTTGGTTTTTGGACTTTCCCGCGGCTGCACCAGATCCACCCCGCCTCAGTTGGCCCCTCAACATCCAACTGCTCCAACTGCTCCAACTGGTCCAACTGGCAGGACTCCGAAGCCCTGATCCAAGGCATTGGCTGGGCATTGGCGAAGATCCAGCGAGCTGAGTCTTTGATGCAGTTTAAGGAAATGGGTTCCAGTCGCTGCCACTGCCATAGTATAATTTTTTCATGAAATCGCACGCAAGTGGCACGATGGCACATCATAAGGGATATCATGAAAACAACAATGGCCTGTCGCACAACGCGGAATCTAAACCCATGGCCTGTCGCACTGTCGCTCTTCGCCATGTGCTCTGACAACTAAGAGTACCTCAACATGAAGCACTGGGATTGATACCCTCTGGTAATTTAACATAGCTATTGAAAATGGCCATTAATAGTGGATTTTCCCATTAAAAATGGTGATTTTCCATAGTTTTTTGTATGTTTACCAGAGGGTAACCCACAAAATCCAGTCACATCAAAATTCTGCCACAGTTCGTTCTTTCGTTCTCGAGAACTTTTTGGATCTGTGCCACACTGCCACCAAGTTGCAGATACCAGGGTAGCCCACGCCTGTGGCAAGTGACCAGTGGCACTTTTTGCGCACACACGTTGTGTTTATCTAGATTCAGAATGTACATCAAACCCACTAGCAGAAAAATTGCCTTGCAAATCTTGCAAAACTTTTAAAACCCATAAACAACAAAATAAACAAAAACTGGTATATAGATGCATGGTCACTTGCAAAAGAAACACATATGATCACTAACATTGATGGGATGCAAAGGCCGATGCAAGCCGTCACTGCCAACCCAATTCCCCTTCCCGGCTTCCAAAAGATTACCAATTTCGTTCAGAACAAGGCTTTAAAAAATGCCCAAAAAAAACAATAAGAGAAATACAGTACGCCTTTCGGAATTTCAATATCTCCTTGGACCTTCCAGTAAGTGGATCGATTTCATCATAGTTTTTTTGGGCATCCCAAGGTCTGAAGGTCAAATATCCCATGGTTTTTTTTGAGCCACCTTGGGGCTCCGCATGGCGGATATCCAATGGACAGAGAAACTGTGCCCAAAAGTCAAACACTTGAACCATGCGAAAAAGCCACGAATCCTCTGCAAAACTGACATGGAATTCGCTCTGAAAAAAAACTGCAAGTTTTGAGATGCGAACCCAGACTTTTGCAGTTGTAAAAAAAAATGTCTTTGTGATCCATTCAGTGCTCTGTGCTATGGCATGTGTGTCCCACGTCCCTTTCTCGCATCTGGATGTGCGCTTGAACCATACGTGTTTTGAGTAGATCAACCTGGCCTAGCAAAGTTGGAATCCTGAGCAAACTTTAGACCAGTCCAGTCATGGAAAGCTCAGCCGATACATCCGGCTGAAAGCGCGTCAAGGTGATAGTTTTAATAAAGAAAAGATCAGCCATCATGATCAACATTGATTTTAGGAGCCAATTTGGGTGTACCCTCTGTCCAAACATGGCGGTCTAGAAACTCCACGAACACTAGTAACCGATGATGCTCTTTAAGATCCAGCCATAGGTTTCGCAGCGGCCCGCCATGTTTGAGGACACCTGAACGTACCCCATTGGCCTGCAGCCATCTGCGACAAACGGGGAGCCCTGACTTTGTGGATGGATTTCCGTGGGAAATTGGATGAAAAGAATGGAGGAAATGGATGAAAATGGATGGAAATTGATACCCTCTGGTAAACTAACATAGCGAACTGGAAAATCACCATTTTTAATGGGTAAACTAACTATTTCTATGGCCATTTTCAATAGCTATTTTGACATAACCAGAGGGTAAGGATCTGGGGATCTGCAGACCTGCACCTTTCAAGGAGCAGACCATCCCCATGCTCTACAAAGGGTGAGATCTGAAAGCCCGGCCAAGCGCAAAACATCGAGAGATCTGAGATCGCATCTGAGATCGCCAACGTTAAAAAACGTTCCGAAGGAGCCCTTCTGTGCTCAACTTGACTCAGTTTGACGAATCTGAATGGTTTCTAGGAAGCTGAGAATCATGCGGAGCTGTCTGAAATCAGGTTTTTCATTTGGTCGTAGAATTTGGTTCAACTGACAACTTTCATCGGGATAAGTGGGAATGGGGCCGGGCTGCCCTGTTTTCAGACAAAGCCATGGAAAGGGAATTCCGTTCTCCCAGTGTTGGCCATGGGCCTTCAGAGGTGAAACGATGCATAGTATGCAGCTGGGCTAGCCATGGTTTTTGCCTGTGAATGCATGTGGCAACAAAAAATACCTCAAGCATGTTCCAGAGAGGTTACTTCTGCATCGGACAACACTGATGAATTTGTTGAGGAAAAATGATAAACATCCATGCTTCTTATTCTTTCTTAGTTAAATATGATGCCTGCGCGGCAGGCATGACGTCGTAAATATCCAATTCAGTATTGTCGCCGGATTCATGTCAATTCGCCATATATTGCCATCAACAGGAAAGCAAAACAGCTGTCGGGGAACACGGCTAACAATTGTTGATTTGAGTGCTCTTGCTCAAAGAAAGGAAACTTTGGATGTAGCGTTTGGTTTGACCTCCTTCGCACCATGGTGATTGGGTGCCTTCATGTCAAACTTGGCCAAAAAATCTATCATCCAAAGTTGGCCAAAACTTCTCTGACTGGCTTGGAAAGGAGTTGGGTGCCGTTGGAAAGTGGTGCCGGAGGTTGTTCAGGGTCCCAGCAGCGCATCCAGGCCACAGTCCACAACTCTCAGCCACGGAGATAGCGAGAGCTTCTCAGAGCCTGGCCAGGCACTTCGCTGTGCCCAGTTAAAACTCGACGAGTCCGTGGGTGGCCAGAAAATGATGCGAAAAAATGCTGGCAGCTCAGAAAGGCAGCATTCTTTCGCACAATTTCAACAAGAAACTTATCAAAGAAGAAGGGAGAATAGCCCACCAGCCTGAGAAAATAGCCTCCATGTGATTCGATATCAACGACATATCAGTTTTTGATGTACACGTCCTTTATAATCTCTGTAAATACTTCACCTCACCTCTTTTGTAAGCGGCCCTCATGTGGCGCTCATCTTAACCTACCTGGACCTACCTGCTCCACGTCTCGTGGGTTGCATCCTCCAGGGGTATTGCACCGATGCCCCAGGTGTGACCCTCTGCGCACAGCTTTTTGCACGAGCGCTTTGCGCGGAGTGCATGATGTCTACAGCTGCACCAACATCTGGAGGGGTGTTTTGATATGACAAAATAACTGGATGGCTTTTTAGAAGCCTACTCTCTCTCTCTCTCTCTTTCAACAATCGCCGAACAGAAGCTCTGGAGAAATCATCAAGTTCCTCTCTGCTGGTGCATAATTTCATTGCACTGTCTGCAGCCATGAATTGTCAGTCAGCCCTTTGAAACAAAAGGCGACCATGCACCACCCTTGCTCAGCAAGAATTCAACGCGCAAGAGTTTCTCTCAAGGCTTCAATCATC